CGGCCAACCCGAGGCAAATCACCGCCACTTGCCGGAGCATAGCGGAGCCACCGTGCCAGAATTGCGATATTGGTCGAAAGGGGCCCTGGGTCTAATTTAGAATTTTTTTGGACACGTGCAGGTACTAGTAGTGCGTTTCAGCTCCCCAGGAAAAATTCAGGAAAAATTAGGGACAGCCTGTAGGCGCACTGTAGAGCCGTATTCAGACCCCGAAACAAGTAAGGACCCCTCACCCTATGTCCTATCACGGTATTAAAGTTCAATAAATGATAAAACGGTATTTCATGAATCAATAGATGTGTGAAATTGTTTAAGGTCGCTAATGGAGCCCGAGTCTGGTGTGTTTGTCGGTCAGCTGTTGTTTGGCCTATTTTACAGTTTTAAATGCAGTATGAGGTCTGATGTTTTCATTTCATAGTTTTGTGTGCATATATCACTGTTTTATTGATTATGGGTTGAATGACTGAGAACCCGATGTTGTATGTTGTCTTGTTTGACATAAATTACTAGTTTGCTTGTTTGTGTGTGATTTAATGATGCTGACTGAGGAAAAGGGGAACAAAAGGTTATGTAAATTGATAATTGTATAATGTGGTCAGCCTGACTAGATATCCTGGGAGATGGTGGACGGACCGGGTCCGTAGGGAACCCTACCGGGATTGTGGTCTCTCATACCAGACGGGGTATGGAGACCTTATGTGTTTTGGCGCCCATACCGGACAGAGTATGGGGACAGCCCGTTTCACCCTCATACCGGACGGGGTATTGAGGTTTATAGTTTTGGCGCCCATACCGGACGGGGTATGGGGATGGCCCTGGAATCTGATTACAAGTGTTAAAGGTTCACGGGTAGTGGGACCCCTATGGATCCCCATGGATACTAGTAGGCTGGTAAATAAGGAAAAATGTGTTGTGTAATGATTGAGATGCAAAAGCCGTGATAAGTATTATGTTATACAGTTCCTATAATTTCGTGATGATGTTAATGTTATTGCTTTCGTATATTATTTTATGAATTTCACCGAGATAAGTGGATAGTAAAGGATTTTATTATTGATAAAAGAATTTGTTGTAAACTATGCTCCGTTGGTCTTTTTGTGTTTTCTACCCACCTTTACCTCCGTGACGGTGAGATAGTGTGATGTCCTTACTGGGCTGGTGTAGCTCATTCCTTATTTAATCATTTCAGATCAGGAAGACATTGTTCCCGAGCCCGTTCCGCAGGAAGACGGCGAAGGGGACGCCTGAAGACTCCGTAGTCATATTTATAGCTTTTATTTTCAAGTTTCTCTTTTAGTTAGTTTGTTCTTTTATACTCTGAGCACGTTTTTTGTTTTAGTGTAAGGGATGTTTAATCAAAATTTTTATTACGCTTCCGCATTTGACCTTTTTAATACACATATTTCATTTTAAAATTCCGGAGTCGTTACAGTTACACCTAGTGCTCTAAACGCATTTCTAAGCAATTCCCACGTAATTAAATTGAAAAAACTCTTTTTAAAAAAATCATAAATTGGTAAAGCTTATTAATTATTGTTTTTTTTTTTTTGCCCCAACAGGATGGTGATAAGTTTGAAAATTAAAAAATAAATTCTTTTGCTTACGGAACTTAATTTGTTTCTCTAAATAAATTTAAGACCAACATTAGAATATCCAAAATTGTACTAAAAAATATAAATAATAAACCTGAATATATATGATGAAAAATGGAATGCATAAGTCCATTGACTGGAGTAGTAAAGTGAGTAGTTAAGTTAAATTATAGCGTCTCTTCTTTGAGAAAAGCAAATTATAGCTGAATGCACTACATAAGCTTGTTAGAAATTTACCATACTCCTAACTTGTTGAATTACTTCAAAGTAT